ATCACGATCAATCTGGCCCCAGCCCCCTCTGAGCCCCAGGCTTGATGTGATCTCTAGGTCCCATGCACCTGCCACCTAGATCCGCCCACCAGGGCCTCAACAGAGGCCAGGCCGCGCAGTGGCCCCGTCTTGGACTTCAGCTCTCCAAACTGAGACCTAAACAAACTTCTTTTCTTTCTTTACGAATTTGCCCAGCTTCATCTTGTTGTACCCCCTCCCCCAGGGCATGGGGGACGTGAAGACCTCTAGCCCTCTGGCCTGGGCACCTTCTCGGGGACGCCAGCATCCTCCATTTTAGTGTGGCTATTCTTCATGCGGCTCTCAGCACAGACCCCCGGGAGTGAGCTGCAGGATGAATGAAGCCCTCCCGCTCCCTGATGGTGGCCGGCCGAGTCCTGAAGCATCCGCGGGGCAGGCCGCACGCCCAACGTAACTAAATGAGAAGCTGGCCAGCGCGTGGGTCCCCCACAGTCCTGCCCCGCGTGTTTGCGTGCAGGTCAGTTCTCATGAGTGAAATGTCTTAGTTGCCCCTTAACGTTTTGTTTTGAATTCTCTCGATTTAAGCTTAGACTGGGAATATTTTTGCCTAAAAATTTGACAGAGACATAACGTAAAGGATGTGCCAATAGGCTTCCACTTTGGGGGTTGTTTTTAAATTTTTACCTCTCTTAAAATTCCTTTTGATCTGTAAAGGTCAACAGTTACACTCCAGGGTCTGGACTGTGCCAGAACGTTCCTTCTGTTGAGGCTCGATCGTGACTATTAGAACTCTCCAATTTGGGACCTCCAAGGAAAATTCCTGTCCAGTTAGGAAAACAAAACCGTCCTCGATGTCTCAAACAGATGGCATTTAACACAGAGGAGTCGTCGTACAGAAATCGGAAAGCTGAAGTCACCCAGAGATTAGTCATTGCTAGAGCACCACCAGCCTACCAGGACACAGGGGAAGAGCGGTCTCCCCTGGCCTGGTGGGCAGGGTGCCCAGGCCTGGGGGTGTCCACCCAGCAGGACTGCAGTGGCCGGTGCCCCATGGACAGAGGTCATGGCCTTGCTGCTCGGGTACCTCTAGGAGGGGGCAGGGCTGGTGCTGGACCTCCAGGGACACGGAGAGGCTGGACTGGCGGTACCAGAGGTTGCTGGGACCTGGGCCAAACCTCTGCTGCCGTCTCTCTCCCTGGCCCTCGGTTCCCTCCTGAGTTCTCCTTCGACTGATGCTAACAGGGAGCCAGAAGGCAGGGGTGCTGGGAAATATGTCCGGAGACCCCAATATGCCTGGGTGGCTTGAAGCCGAGGGGCAATAGTGAGAAGCCAGCAGACGTTGGGCCGGCCAGTCTTAAGGCTCTGCCAGATCCCTCCCACCTCAACAGAGATGAGCGTCTCTCCTGGACATCGGATAGGCTAGGCTCCTCCAGAGAGGAATGAAAGCGGCTGACACTCCCTCCTGTCAACCAGCATGGAAGGGGCAGGTCATCATCAGGGCCAAAGCAGTGCCCACAGTGGACCTTGGACAGGGAGGGGAGAAAGCCTCCTCCTCTCTGGGCCTTGGTCCCTGCTGTTAGCACGTGAGGGTCAGGGCAGCCACCAGGGCACGCTTGGAGGTGGATGCTGTGGACCAACCCCTAGTCCGCAGGACAGTTGGGGTCTGCGTGGGGTAGAGTCTGACTCTGCCCAGGTGACCCGCGTCCAGTCACTCTCAGAGTCCGTGGCACTGCTGCCCACATGGACCAGCCTGCTCTCGGTTCTATTGGAGGCGCTGGGGAGGTGGTGGAGGGGGGACGAGGACTGTGGCACTCTGGGCAAAGAGCACCATGAGGCCAGCCCTGGGGGCAAGGAGAGTCCTCCAGGACCTGGGAAAGGGCAGCGCTGAGGCCCGTTCCTGCCCTGTTTGAGGACCCTCCTCATTCTCAGGCTTGATTTCATCGATGGACACTTCGGACAAGGCCCAGGCTGGGGGATGCGTAGGAGGAATACAGTGGAACAGGCGCCCTGTTGTGAGGTTCTGGCTGACCCCTCCACTCTGCTGGCCTCACTTGACCTTGCCTGGAGGTGCCTGTGAGGGCCAAGAGGGCTCTGGGACCGTGCGTCTGTGGGACACAGACGCACCCAGATCTCACCATCTCTCTATCCTGATTTCCTGGGAAGTGAGAGCAGGGCCACATGCAGGTCCCCTGAGGGTGGTGGCAAGGTCAATGAGTGAGGCAGATTCTTCTCTGACAGGGCTGTCAAGGCATGAGGTCATTGGACACCTTAAGGTGGCCAAGCAGGGGTCAAGGGGCACAGAGGGGTTTCTTGGGAAGGCCCCACTCGAGTCTCAGGAGCCAGCTCTTCCGACGGCCAGCCTGAGCTGCTGTGTGCAGGGTCCATTTCTCAGCAGGGAGGCTGGGCGCAGAGACGGTGTCCACCCCTAGCCAACTTGAGGCCATCGAGACCATCCTGCACAGGGTTACCTAGCCCATGCTTGCTGCCCCTTGGCCAAGGAGCTCTGGTGGCACTCTGTGTTCGCTCCGTGTTTGGGGACAGAGCGTGTGCATACCTCCCTCCTTGAAGAGCAATGCTAGCCGAGTCCAGCCTGTCATCTCACAGGTCAGAAACCAGGCCCGAGGGGCAGGGTCACAGTGCTCCTAGCACCCTGAGGAGGGACTGCAGCCACCCCCGACTCAAGCCCAGCTCCCTCCTGGACACCCGGAGCGGATGGGAGGGTTGGTCCTAAGGGCTTCTGACACTGAGTCCTGGCTGGCTGCGTGTGTCTCGGGGCTGGAGGGATGGTATTGAAAATACCCTGTGGGATCTGCTGCGTTGCTGAGGAAGGCCCCGGAACCCAGCCCAGTGGGCTGCCAGGCCGATGGGCTAGCCTGAGGAGGAGCCGTGGGATCGGCCACAGGGGGGTCACAACAGAACCAGTGCTTGCCCCAGCAGGAGCCACAGAAGGAGGCCATGTGGGCTCTGGTGGTGTGGAAGCAGGACTGTCCCCACAGGACCATGTTCCATTGAGGGAGGCCACAAAGGCCAGGAGTTGCCCCTGTGCCTTGCTCAGCTCCACATCTGTGCCCCTGTGCTCCAGGCTCCCTCCTGGTCACACTCTGTCTTGGGGATGCCCATGTAAACCACAGCGTTCGGGCAGGGGATGGGCGGCTGCAGGCCCTGGGCCCTGTGTCTGGCTGTTGAGGGTGGGCAGGGGGGTAGGTGTGTACACACAGGCCAACAGCGAGTAGCAAGGTAGGCATGTGTGTACATGAGCAGGCATGTCCATGTGTGTCCATGGGGAGGGCACATGTGGGAAGCCATGTGCACAGTGTTACCTGGCCCATGCCTGCTGCCCCTTGGCCAAGTATATAGGAAGACGATGTCATGGACAGGCATGTGTGTACATGGGAAGACGTGTGTCATGGGAAGCCACATACTTGTACTGGGTCAGGAGCATCTGTACCTGGGCAAACATGTATGTACATGAGAAGGCATGTGTACCTGGGTAGGTGCATGTGAACATGTGGGAAGGCATATGTGTCCCTGCACAGGTATGTGTCCCTGGGCAGGTACATGTGAACATATGTGTGAAGGCATGTGGGTATGTGGGCAGGTACATGTGTAGCTGGGAAGGTACATGTTGGAAGGCATGTGCATACCTGGGCAGGTACATGTAAACACAAATGGGAAGGCCTGTGGGTACCTGGGCAGGTACATATGAACATATGTGGGAAGGAGTGTGGGTACCTGGGCAGGTACATGTGAACACATGTGGGAAGGCATGTGGGTACCTGGGCAGGTAATTACATGTGAACCCACATGGGAAGGCATATGGGTACCTGGGCAGCTATGTGTGTACGTGGGCAGGTACATGTGAACACACATGGGAAGGTATGTGTGTACGTGGGCAGGTACATGTGAACACACGTGGGAAGGCGTGTGTGTACCTGGGCAGGTATGTACATGTGAACATACGTGGGAAGGTGTGTATGTACCTGGGCAGGTACATGTGAACACACGTGGGAAGGCGTGTGTGTACCTGGGCAGGTACATGTGAACACATGTGGGAAGGCGTGTGGGTACCTGGGCAGCTATGTGTGTACTTGGGCAGGTGTGTACATGTGAACACACATGGGAAGGTGTGTGTGTACCTGGGCAGGTACATGTGAACACATGTGGGAAGGCGAGTGAGTACCTGGGCAGCTAAGTGTGTACCTGGACAGGTACATGTGAACATACGTGGGAAGGCATGTGTGTACCTGGGCAGGTACATGTGAACATACGTGGGAAGGCATGTGTGTACCTGGGCAGGTACATGTGAACATATGTGGGAAGGCATGTGTGTACCTGGGCAGGTGTGTACATATGAACACACGTGGGAAGGTATGTATATACCTAGGCAGGTACATGTGAACACACGTGGGAAGGTATGTGGGTACCTGGACAGGTACATGTGAGCACACATGGGAAGAAGGCATGTGTGTACCTGGGCAGGTGTTTACATGTGAACACATGTGGGAAGATATGTAGGTACCTGGGCAGGTGTGTACATGTGGACACACATGGAAAGGTGTGCGGTACCTGGGCAGGTATGTGTGTACCTGGGCAGGTACATGTGAACACATGTGGGAAGGCGTGTGGGTACCTGGGCAAGTGTGTACATGTGCTCAGGCAGGTGTGTGCAACTTGCGAGGTGAATGTCAGCAGCAGTGCTCTCAGGAGCAGAGCCTGCAGCAGAGGCTGGCTCCCCCTTTACTGGAGTACCAGGTTCCCGTCTGGACAGTGCCACTGATGCCTCCCTCATCCACAGAGCTGGGGAGACAGCAGGCGGGACCTGGGCGCTCCTTTGGGATCCGCGAGGCCTCAGAGCCTTGCGCCCTGTGCCTGCCCCTCCCTGGCCGGCTCCGTGCTGGAGTGAGAGGTCTGCAGGAAGCTCTTCTCCAGCTCCAGCAGCAGCCGGAGCAGCCCCAGCAGCAGCCGGAGCAGCTCCAGCACCTCCAAATTGGGACTCTAGCCCTTTAAATCTGCTCAGTTACCAAAAAAGAAGAGGCACCAGACCCTGTTAATTAAAGCTCGCCCTGGTCCATCGTTCCGAGGAGCTGCAGTGCTCTGCTCCTTCCCGATGCTTAGACTCTCCTTGACTCCCAGCCATGGATCTTGGAGAATTTCCCCCGAGATCAGCAGGAGGTATGATCCTTGCCAATGGCACTGAGGCTTGTGTGGCTCTAAATCAATAAGGAAACTGGCTGCATGGACGCCACCCGCCCCCTCCTCCCCATGCCCTCTCCAGTTTCCCAGCTTGGATTGAGTGGAGACAGATCAAGTTTTCATGGGCTTGGGAGGAGGGAGAGGGGGCTGGAGGCAGCGCCTCGCGGGTTTGTTTTGGCCCTGGCTTCACCTGGCTGCCAGAGGGGCTTGGAGGAGTGGGGATGTGTTTCTTTAAGTGCCGGCTCCTGCCCATCACTTCTTCCCGGTTGGTCCCTTCCCCGGCACAGGGCATAACCCTGCCTTGACTCGCTCCTCAGATGGACGCCCTGCCTCTGGGTCTGAGGATGGAGAGTGCTGCCCTCCTGGGCTGTGGGCAAACTCCTTCCCCACAACTTTCTCTCCCTAACTCGTCTGGAGGAGCATCGTGCTCCCCCCGCTCCCCTCCCCGACTCGGACGCTGCTGGAGTCCAGGGCTGGCTGCTGTATGATTTCAGGAATTCCTGACCCCTTTTCTTTGCGCCTTTTGAGGAAACTCACTTCCAGCTGAGTCTCAGGTTCTGTGGCAGAGTTGTTTTTACTCGGGAATCTGCCTAGCCTGGCAGAGGGGGAGGATTTATCTTCTCTGCACATTGCATCTTGTAAATCGTACTCGGCCCAGAGAACATCTCTCTGCAAGTCCCTCATTGATCTGGCTTCGCCCCCACAGCTGTCTCCTCTAGTCATCCCGGAGGAACGTCTCCTTCCAATCAGCTCGACTGACTATGGACGTCCGCGGGAGCCAGCCCTGGGAGGGGGAGCCATTTCCATCACTCGAGGGACAGACCACGGGTCCTGGGATGTGGGTCCATGTGGCTTGGGGAGGGGCCTCCGTGGCTCCGTCCCTGGGCCCGGGAGCAGCGCGTGGGAGGGAGCACTCTCCTGATTTTCCCGGGTCTAAGGCGCACAGGGTGATGAACAGCTCCTCTCAAGTCTCGCGAGGGACGTGCCCAGGCTGAGCTCCTGGAGTGGGGATTTTCCCCAGAGCTGTTGCCAGCAGGACTCTGACAGGCACGGTGGCTGCTGTGGGTGCTGCTGGACCCCAGGCCAGCACGGGGCGCTGCCTCTGGAAGTCGGCACGTCTGCTTCCCAGGCACCGAGGGGCAATGCGGTCGTGTTGTCAGAGCGATGGACTCTCTGCCGGGCAGAGGCCCTCGGTCGGAGGCGGCTGGTCAGAGCCCACCAATGGGGCTCTGGATGGACTTCCTAATGCCCGTGTCCATCGGTGCACTTGAGTGGCCATTTGGAGGTTGCCAGAGAGGAACCCAGCGAGAGCTGTTTCTTGCAAGCAGAGTCAGCGGAGGCCTGTCACCCAGGGCAGGGAGGAGGCCGTGGCGGGGACACTGGGGGTCCTGTGGCCTTTCCCTAGGCAGTGCTTTCCTCAGTGGGAACGGGTCACTGAAGGCTGTGGGGCCAGGCTGTGGTGAGCAGGCCGTGTTCCCTGGCTCAGGAGGGGTCCGGGGAGGGTCTTCACACAGCAGGGCCACCGTCCTGCTCTTCCCAGGAGCCAGACTCCAGAGGCCTGGGACGAGTCGCTAGCTGTGTCCTTGGACTGGCCGGCCACTGACAAGAGGTCAGACCTCTGCTCCTTCACATCCCGTCTTGTCCACTTAGAATGTGTGCATGTGTGCGTGTGCATGTGTGCGTGTGTGCGTGTGTGCATGTGTGCGTGTGCATGTGTGCATGTGTGCGTGTGTGCATGTGACTCACTGTCGTCGCTGGCTTTCGGGCACCTGTGTACAGATCCCCGTGGAGTTCATTTAGACCTGGAAGCTCTCCATGCTGTGGGGCCACTGGTACTCTTCCAGTGATCTTAAGGGCTCTCAGGTTGCAGATGGTGGGACAGAAGGGCCTGCCTGCTGGGACCCACACCCTGCCTGGACTCAGCCCTGTCACTGACCTGAGCCTCCCTTGCATAGAGCCTCAGTTCTCTACCTGTGACGTGGTCAATGGTCTGGATTCCATGGGGTCATTTAGTGGGCATCTGCGTAGGCCACAGGTTCAAAGACGAGTGGCCGTAGCTGCCTTCAGTTAAGTGCACATTGATTCAAAGGATGGAACCACTTAAACAGCTATCATAGCTCCTGCCCTGACCACGGACAGTGCCCTCGCTGAGAACAGGGATAGCCTCACCTGTGTCATTGCCCCCTCCCCAAGGCCAGCTGAGGGATGGATGGCATTTGTGCCACATAAAAGTTAATTGAACGAATATCTGATGTCCTGGGGGCGTTTAACCTTCAACACAGGTGACTTTTAATGACTAAGCAAGACCAATTTGCCCTCAGTTTACTTAGGAACCTCAGCTGAGCCAGACAGATCACAGGGCACCACTGCAATAAACTTGCGCTAAAATATATCCCCTGGTGGAGACCCTCCAACTGCAACAAAGGCAGTCTCCACCCGCGTATGCTGCTCCGGCTCCGCTGTGGAGGGGAGGGTCCTCCCCTCTACACCAGCCGCTTCCTCCTCTGCATGCTCTGCTGGAGACCAGAGGCCCTGAGCACACCTGTGTGCACGGAGGTGCTCCTTTGAGGAGAGTCCTGACTCAGTGGTGTCCGTCAGGTGCTCGCTGAGGGCTGCCTGGCCACCATGACCAAGAGCACCCTGTTTCCAAGCAGGGCACCAGCAAGTCACTGGGGAGCAAAGCCAGGCAGCTGCCCAGCTGGGGCTCAGGGACAGCTTCCTTCAGGGAAGGGACGGGGCACCTCTAGGACAAGATGGCTGTGCTCGCAGCGGGGCCTGGGGCACAGGAGGCAGTTCCACCTGGCTGTGCGCTGTGAGCTCTGGCCAGATTCCCAAGGTCCTGGTGCCTTCAGGGGGACATCATCTCAAGGGGAGAGAGGGAGCGCAGTACCGGAGGGAATGGACGTGGGCTGCAGGCTGAGTGGCCGTCCTTGCTGGGCTGTGGTCCAGGCACTGGGAGGTGGCAGTGAACAAGGCCAGCAGAACCCCTGCCTCATGGCTCTACCTTCCGGGAGCCCACAGGGGCCAACTGACGGGTGCATGGACAGGGACGCCTGCATGGAGGGAGGGACAGCCGAGGAGGCGGCCTGGGTGGGGGTGTGGCCCTGGACAGTTGAAGGCAGCGAAGGCTGGTGGGGCACCGTGGGAACTTGGCCTTGCACTGGATGGAGCTGGTGTGGAGCCAGGAGTGGGGGGCACACCTTCAACGTCCCGCCTGCCCTGTGGAGGAGGATTGTGGGTGGGCAGAGCTGGAGGCAAGACTGGCTAGGAGGCCACCTTACAGTCCAGTGAGGGGCCATGGTGGCCGCCTGGGGTCATAGGATGGAGGCAGGGTCTTGCTGGTGGGTGGACGTGGTGTGAGAGCAGGAGCAAGCCCAGGTGGCTTCCCTCTCTGGCAGCGTGGATTAAGCGTGGGGAGAAGGGGGCAGGGGGGCGCTCTCACATCCACTTGGAGACCTTGTGGAGCCTCAGTGGACAGCTGAGTAGGCAGTCCTGAGGCAGCTGGCTAGAGGCAGATGAGATCATCAGGAGACAGACGGTGGCTGCAGAGGACTCGGATTGAGTTCCCAGGTGCCACAGCCTCCTAATTAAAGGAGAAGTGGAACAAGTGGGTGGCAGTGTCTCCCCGTCCATGGCAGCCCACGTGGGTGGGCAGTGTCCCCCTGCCCATGGCAGTCCACGTGGGTGGGCAGTGTCCCCCTGTCCACGGCAGTCCATGCCGCGGCACTTTGGTCTGTGGTACAAACAGTCCTTGGCTTGGCCCTGTTGGGAGGGGGAATCTCAATGGAGTCTTGGGTCTTGGCAGCCTGTCGTGGAGGGGATGGTGGTCCTCTGTCCCCTGTCCTGTGTTTTGACTTCTGACCACGTGGGAAACAGTTCTGCCATGTCACATGCTCCTGCCATGATGTGCTGCCTCCCCAGGCCCAGAGCCATGGGGCCAGTCAGTCGTGTACTAAAGTTCCAAAGCTCTGAGCGGAGCCAACATCTTCTCTCTATCAGCTGATCCTCTTGGTATTTGTTACAGTTACGGAAAGCTGCCTAACACTTGCCCTTCCTGCCCTTCCCACCTTCTGTCCTGCCCCTTTCTCCTGGCCCTCCCCACCTTCCCCAGACCTGCCCAGGTCTCGAGAAAGAGCCCTCCTTGGACCTCCAAGTCCTCTGATAGCTCTGGACCTCCTCTTCTCTTTCCTTACAAATAAACTTCTCTTTCTTTCAGAATTAATTGAACAACTACTAGGCAAGGAGGATGCAGAGAGAAAAGCCCCAGAGTTTGCCTTACTTGAAAGACCACCTATTGATTCACGTGTTACCTACTTCCATGAAGTGATTTTGGTTTCATTTTGTGTGTGTCTATACAATGAAATATATAAGCTAAATATAAAATATTTTGTACCAAAATTTTGTATTTGAATTCTAGAATTTAGGAGAGAAAAGAATAGAATGCAGAAATTGAGGACGTAGGGTTCTATAAGAAAACGGCTGAGCCACTAACCTGGTCAAAACTTCTTGGGCAGAAAAAGGAAAGTGGGGACGGCTTTGAAATGGGCTGATGTATAACTCTCATGTGCACCGCTCCTCTGCACACAGCCCTGCCGCCTGCTCTCAGGTCCGGAGGGAGGGGTGATCCGCCCTAGCCCCCTGTGTCCTCTGGGCCAGGAGGTCCTCTCACAGGAATGACATCATCCATCTGCCTGTTCAGACTTTTTGGGAATTGCTTTGAGTTTATTGTTCCTGAGATAATGCACTCGGTTCTCAAAGAAAACAAAATTTTTCTGGTACTTCATTCTAAAAGAACATTTTCTTCTTGGGTTTCATTTAATCCCTTAAATGGAAAAAAAAAATAGATGGATGGTATCTTGGCTATTCCCACAAAGTCTTTTCAATAGCACCCAGGTTATGTGTGCACGTATCAAAACATAAAAATATAAACCCAGGAACCAACACTCAGAGTCATCTCCCATCCTCAGCCTGGTGCCGTA